GGTCCTCCGCTGCGGACCACCACCGCCGCCGCCGCCACCGCCGCCGCCGCCGCCGCCGTTACCGTTGGGCCGTGAATTTCCGCCGAAACGGAGAGCGTGCGGATCGCTAGCCGGCGCGGCCGTCCGCTGCGCACGATCACCGAGATTTTTCTCAACGTGGTGGCTACGCACAAGAATCTCTAAGCTTCTGCGTGTGAGCGTGTGATCATGCATGAGCACGATCTTGACCTGTTCGTAGTCTGCCGAGAGGCTTCTACGTAAAGTCGCAAGGACCTCACTTTCCGGGATTTCATAACCGTTGACAGCGCGAAGCGTATTCAGCACTTTGTTAAACCTCAGAAAGTAGTCTTGCGGGTCCTCGCCGAGCTGCATCTTCATGTTAGCGAGAGACAACTTCAGGGCCTCCTTTTCAGAGCTACTCATCGGAAGACAAAACTCCTGGGCCGCCTCCCATGCCCCCGACACATTCCCTACAGCAAGAATTGTCGATTGAAATTTCGCCCCCTTCGTGGCTCGCCTCAAGTAATCGAAAGCACGCTCGTGATCACGCACACGCTTCTCACTGTGGAATCTGATGTTCTCGCTCCTGGATGTGTGTATGAGCCAGATGCGTTGGTCAGGACTCGCCGGCGGAGTGAGTGTGTGCCCAAGATCTTCGCCGGCGAGGAAGACCTCGAATATCGTCTTGAAGAGCGGGAAGTTGCCGTCGTACACTGGTGGCTTGCGGTCCCTGTACTGCTGTTGCACTGGACCATCTCGAACAGAAGTAGCCGCTCCCCCGGCTCCAAAGGTGTCCGCCACCCCGGCTGCTCCACCCCTATAATACCCCGACGCGTACCCAGCGCCATCCACCCTATCTCTCGTAGCGTCCCCCGCTGAACTGCGCTCCCTTTCCTCCTCAAGTTTCCTCCGTAACTCCGCACTCTCGGCTTCCGCTTTCTTCGTTCTTTCTTCCAACAACTCTCTCTCTCTTTCCGTCATCGCTGTACCAACACCTGGCCAAGCTAGGCTCCACGATATCGTGTTAGTGCACTGCCGCCCTCAGCGGTCTGTGGTGTTGAGACTGGGGACTATGTTATCCCAGGAACAGCTGATAAAAAAGGACCATGTATCGTATATATTCGTCACGCAAGCCCCTCAGGCAAGCTGGTATTCGACACGCAAGCCCCTCAGGCAAGTGCCGGGAGCACACCGCTGTGTGCTCCCGGGGGGCCCGCACTTGGACCACAACCGCATGCATACCCTCACACCCATACTTCCCATACGCGTATCCCCCACAGAGGATGCACAGATCGGACTCATATCCAAGTACCACAAACAACACCCCCAGGACCGATTTCAAAGTTCGATTTATCAACAGCAGAAAGAGTCTCAGCGCCGAAAACGGCGGCGTTGAAGCCGTCTGGTCAAGAGCTGTCCGTATTGTTCCGTTGACGCATCCTCTTCGTCGTGGAGGAATCGAGCTTTGAAAATCGGTCCAGGGGGTGTGTTATCTTGTGTCAGAGTATCTACATACCTCGTATATATCTACTCGGTGTATACGGTAAGCAAAAAGTGGGGCATGATTGCAGGTGGCGTAGGCAGATTCATTGCGTAGGGTTACGGCCATGACAGCAGCACGGTACTACCCATCATCTACCAACACTTGAGAACTTGACGTGAGACAACATATCAGTACATCAAGCAAGCTTCAAGGGCGCCACCCTCGACGACACAGGCTTCGGGACATCTCACTACCTTTTTTGGGCGGCCATCGATGAGTAGTACCGCCACAGTCAGCGGGAAATCGTTATTGTATCCGTGCGATATGAGTAGTTTCCCGATGTCCAGGACCGTAGTTTCATTGATAGGGCGCATCGTCTCGCTTTTAACAAGCTCCTTGGCGACTTCGATTGTCATCTATCTGCCCACATCCAATCCTCGTCGGTTGGGTTGCAACAACTCGGACATTTAGGCAAGTCGTCATACTTCTTCTTGGCGCCGAAGGAGGTGCGGAGTGCGAAGCAACAGATTTCTTACGAAGAAGGTCTTTCTTACGAGCGGGCCGGCACTGTATACCAGGCGAGGACGCCTGCCTGGCGCAGAAGGCTAACTGATACAGAATACAACAGCAATACAACACCTGACACCCCTCGTTTAAACTGCCCGGCGACCGCAGGGGACGCGAGTGATAATTGGTAGGCGAATTGGAGTACACGATTGGTGCCGGGTGTTGCCTTCCTTACGATCTTATATACGATACCGCGACGGTTGAAAAGAAAGCTACTAGAAAGCTGTCTCGGTCTTCGAGTCCAAGAGCCATCACATCGTACAAGGCATCCACACACACATCGCCGCCCTGTTCGCAGGATGAGAGGTGTAGCGCGGGAATAAGTTTCGACTTCGCTCTGCTCTATCGGTGTGCTGTCAGAGGCTCAGAATTTTGAAAATTAAGATAAAGCGCCTGAGAAATTGAGCTCATCACAACGATAAGAAATGGAGGAATAAGAAATAGCACAAATTCGACTTCCTAGACACAAGAAAAAGAGGATTCAAGGTTGGCCTCAGGAAATAAGAAATGGCCTCCCCGCGCATACAACGCGGGCGGGGGGGCTTTTCTATCGCCGTTAGTAGGGTCGACGGAAATGGCGTTGATAAGAGATTGTGCAATTCTCATCGGGAAAAAGTAAGAAATATTGTGACAAAAGAAATTCAGTTCACGGTGTCTGCGGCAGTAAGATTTGAGCCTCGGCAGAAATAGACAACAGGTAGGTGTTACAAGCGGGTCGCCACTGTATACTAGATACCACCCCGCGCTGAATAACAACACCTGGTGTGCCCCAGCGCGGAATTCGTACCTACCGTAGGTTGCAAAGATACCCCCTGGACTGACCTTTAAAGCTCGATTACTCCACGACCAAGAGGATGCCGAAGGCAAACGATACGTATTCGAAAACTCTGGACGGGACGGTTGCAACTCCTCCATTTTCGGCACCGTCGCTTCTTTCCTTGCCGAGTAGTCAAGCTTTGAAAATCGGCCCGGGGGGTGTGATATCTTCCGCAACCGACGGCAGTTAAATGATTAAGGTATTACCAACCTACCGCCGGGTGGGTGTGGTGGCCTCAACAATTTCGTGATCAAAGCTGCTCACTCGTGTTCGGAGCGAAAAGAGGAAGTGTCTCCGTGCAACTCCGTGCGCTTATTACTTTACTAGAAATTCCAAGGTATATCCATTGCCATGATTTTATTTGTTTTTGAATCCATCCCGTCCACTGTAGTCGAGTCGTATTTTTCCGAGGGAGCAAAGCAGCCGAAGATGCTCGCGTGAAAAGCGTCAACACCGATGACGATACGCCGTATTCTGCATTAATTACAGATTTATTTGGGACAAACGATAGATTAACAACAAGGACAACGACCACCTGCAGCAAAAAATTAAATCTGAACGGTGTTTCTGTACCAGCACCCAAATATCAGCATCGTAGTTCTCTACGAGATTTGAGCGAATTGAAGAAACGAAATCGTATTTTTTTCACCAGCAGACAGCACACAACTATCAGCAACAAGAAGTACGAATCGTATTCAGTGATAGAAATCGTGTTTCTTTGCCAGTCAGCACACAACAACTATAATACCAGCAACGATAAACACGATTGATTTCGTATTTCTTCAACATCAGCCAGCACATAAGTAACTATCGGCAACAAGAAGTGCCCGGTACGACAACAACAACACCGAAATATCAGCAAATGGAAACAAGAAATCGTATTTCTTGGCGAGATATCAGCCAATGGAAAGAACAAATCGTATTTCTTTACGAGTTATCCGCGAACATAATGACCACATCGTATTTCTATACAAACCAGCCAGCACACAACAATCAGCAATAAGAAATACGGAAAAGTATTTCTTACCAGTCAGCACACACTATCAGCATTATGAAATACGATTTTGTGTTTCTTTACGAGCCAACACCGAAACATTAGCGAACAGAAATACGAAGAAATCGTATTCCTCCACCAGCCAGCAGTAAGAAAAACGAAATCGGTTTCCTTGACCAGCCAGCACTCCAATATCAGCGACAAGAATACGAAATACGAATTTCTTTAACAGAGCCAGCACACACTATCAGCAATATAGTAAACAATACGAAATTACCAGCCAGTAGACCACTACCAGCTAAAGAAAGTACGCAATTCTATCTCTGCCTGCCACAAAACCAATACGAGCAAATGGGAATTCGAACTCGTATCACCTTCCTCTCAGCCACCGCGCAGGAATCAAAAAGAAGATCGCATCCCAAAGTAGGGGGGTGTCCCCCTGCAATTTTCGGGTTGAGGTTCCCTTATGCAGCGCCTCCTCAGCGTTGGTGAGGATGCGGTTCCCCAATGCAGAGGACCGCCTTGTGCATGGGATCAAGGTGTTGCCTACGGCAGAGGTCCCGCTGCTGCAAAGCCAACGGAGGTTCCCTCAGGCGCGGGTTCCCCTCGCACTCTTGACGTCTGGTACTGCAGAGGTTCCCTGGTGTACTGCAGATCATCAGGAGCCAGGAGTTTCGCTTCCTCCAGGGCACCCACCGATGCGCGGCGGCAGCGAATGTGCCACAGCCGGATAACACACGCGACGTGCCCGGAAATCAACAGCACGCGAACCGTTTTGTGTAGCATTTTTGCTGCACCACGGCTCCTAAAAGAATAATTCTGCACCGAAACACCGGCGCTGGAATGTGGAGGGGTGTCGTCGTCGTCGTTTCATCAAACGGTGTTGCGTGATGAATGAACGAGTCCTGACTGAGTACTTAATAAGTAAGCCAGCAACGTCTACCTGCATTCGCTATTCATTCCACCAACATTTGGTATGGGGCAAGTATCGGGTGCAGACGAAAAAGAAATGTTCGCGTCAAAATACTGTCTCGATTTTGAGCGAGTTGACCAAGAGCGCATATATGCACTATTGATCACGAGATGTCGAGGTGTGCTGATTTGAACGGGGCTCCCGCTTGATTCTGTGCATGTTCCAACAATGTTTTGCAGCAAAAAACTAAAGGTAGACGGATTGCATTATTCGGGTGTCGGCGCGTGTGCCGCATTATGACGCTGGCGGGCTCTTGTCGAGAGCGTTTCTGCACAAAGGATTGACTCAAGTTCCTTGTAATAACGAGTGAGAGACATGGACAGCTCAAACGAACAAGCACGTTAATCAGTTAGTTGTAGTCAGGTGAAGAAACCATTCCCATTTGGATACCTCCAAGATCTACTCGTTCCTGCGACACGCACCAAAAATCAGCAGGTAATCCATCACTACTTGCCTCCCTCTCTCTTGGTTGAGCTCGACATGGTGGTAGGAAATACCAGGCATGTCAGGTACTCGTTTATTCACCACTCGTTACAAGAGAGCCCTACGACCAAATACAGACAGACGTCCCTGTTGCACTCAGTTAGATTTGAACTCGAGAACCACTTGCTTTCCCGCACTAGCAGCTCGGGCAGTTGCAGCTTTAGCCTCCGCAACAGGCTGAGCTTCAAGCACTTTCCCCAACTCATGCGGCACACATGTTGTCCAACTGCTGTTCTATCTCCGGAGTAAGATCGGGCTTCGACATGTGAGGAACAGTATCATCTCGACACGGTCGGGAGTCATTGCCTGCCAAGTGATACACGAGTCCCACAAACCTAGTCCGGTCAATTGTCCATGCGAAGGTGCACGCAATGTGTGTGGGGGGGGCGATACGCATGTGAGCCCTTTTTTCTTTGTCTTGTTCGCTTATGTTTTTATGTGGATGTATAGACTATACGGAAGCCCCCCTGCATACATCGTGTCTTACGCAAGACACGCGCCGTGCAAAACCCCGTCACTCTGTGGAAACCGAGGCTGTATTGCGGTTTTAACCGAGGGTTGTGCGAATTTAACAGTGGGTTATGTGACGGAGTAGCTCAAACCGCTGTGTGAAAAAACCGCTTGTTGTGCGGATTGTTGGGTAACCTCAAGGAGCGGAGCGGTATATCCGAGGGCAAAATTCTAACGGAGCGGAGCAGTTATAACGCTCCGCTCGGGTCCGCTTTCTAGAAAAAAAACGCTCCATGAATAGCCCTGGAATTTTGGACTATCCAAACCATACAATAAATGAAAATCACAGTCCTGTATACGTAATCTTTCACACGAAATAATTGCCGAGAAGTCAGGAGAAATTTTGTCGTGCGCTGAGAGCCCTCCATTTTGGCTCTCTCGGCCTCTCACAGAGCTACGTGTCCATCTATCCGGGATCTTTGGAGCGCTTTCGTATCTCGTATCATTTCGTTTTCCCGGTTCTTTCATGTCTTCTCACACTGCGTTTGTTTGCCTCGCTCGGGTCTGGCCCATTTGCTCGCGGAACCTATCGCCCCTTTCCTCTAATCCTCATCCACCACACATACATTCCATTTCCCCGCACTCCCTCCCTCGCCCCCCCCCCCTCCCCTCTGTCTGTCTGTCTGTCTGTCTGTCTGTCTTTCTCTCTCTCATATCCATCATCTTCTCATCTTTTCATTTCGTATCTCCGGGATACGCCACAGAGCTGCAGTTCCATCTCTCGGGATAATGGGCGCTTTGTTATCCGTTAACACTCCGTTTTTATCCGTTAAATATTTTTTTCACGTCTTCTCACCCTGTATCAGTCTCTGCATCTCTTCTGCGGGCTCGCGGAAAACGTCTTCGCCCCTCTCCTACGCTCTCTGTCCCATCTATCCATCTATTCACACATTATGCAAATCTCTCTCGGCTCTCATAGAGCGCTGCTTTTTGTCTCTCGCGGCCTGTCAATAAGCTGTATTTGCATCTCTCCGGGATCTTTCGAGCGTTTTGTTATTTTGGTTTTCTTCGTGCCTTCTCACCCGATCTGCATCATCGGCCACGCCCGCTCGTGAAGGCTTAGGTCGCTCTCCTCTGCTTTCTCTCCCGTCCATCCAACCACATTTTACCCCATCTCTCTGTCTTTCTCTTGAATCAATATGTTTTCGTGCGCTTGACGCGCCACGGCTTTTTTACTCTCCGCACTCTTCGCGGTCTTTCTCGGCCGTATTGCGGATATCAGACCAAACGGTCACCAGACGCAAGCAGCACAGCAGCAGTAGCTAAAAAAAAAGCGGTCTGGCCGTTGTGGCTAAGTCCGTTTTCTCTCGCCAGGGGAGCTCATCTCAGTTTTGTGGCTCAAGTACATGTGGTACACCACTTCATAATTTGGTGTGGCTGGGCAATTTTCAACTCCGCCCTTGAAGGCCAAAGTCTGCATGAATTTGAATTCCGCACAGCACGCCGCATGCCGCGGATGACGCAAATCGAGCACGCCCTCTCTCTCTCTCTCTCTCTCTCTCTCTCTCTCTCTCTCTCTCTCTCTCTCTCTCTCTCTCTCTCTCTCTCTCTCTCTTTCTCTTCCTATACCGAGCCGTTTTTATTCTTTTCACTCAAGTGCGACATACGGCCTGCCACGAATGCTGAGGACCACTTGTCGCGTATGTTGGAATCAATCTGTTAGCTGGGCGGCGAAAGCCGCCAGATCCCTTGTATTTTATAGGTTTACGCCAGCCCCAAGACATCGCCCTACTGACCTACTCTGCAACCCCATTGTGCATGGCACTTGAGTAAATTCTCGACATGTCCAATACTGAAGTCATCTGCTGGACACGCTGTATTTGGTACACGAGAGTCGATGGCTGGCTCCGGTTCATCTGCCCTACTGCATTTGCACGGTTTCCTGCATGTCGCTGTCTTTTAGCGGGTAGTTGAGCTTCAGGGAATTTCCGTCTCCGTAGAATTATGCTGAAAGGTGGTCGGTGGAACATGTGCACAGCATAACAAGGGCACGACGCTGGAATAATAGAGGTTCCAACAATATGTTGCGACATGGCGAAAAATTCGAACGTCGTCCTTTCATTCAGCCATTCGCGGTCGATGGGCAAGTCTATCTTTACTTGGAATGCTGACGTAAGCCATTGGCAGCCCCCTTATTCCGGTGGGTGTATCCGACGTGTATCTCATAACGGACTCTGTCTTCACCATTGCACATGGGTGACGACGATAACAACTTGAGACCGAGGTCCGATTTAATCGATTGTCAGGCCGACAACGAAGATATAGAACAGTGCCGTCACTTTCTTGAGAACAGTGCCGTTACTTTTCTTCAGGATGTCTCTCGCCCCCCCGTCCCCCCCCTCACCGTCTCATTCGGAACACGGAGGCATCTGAACACAGCCATTGTGCGGGAGGCGGGTGAACAAAGTGGCGCTACATTTACCTGAGGGAACGACTCCGGACGACCCCAACGAGGGATAAAAACCATACCGGGCCTTGTTTTCCAGTGTCCCTAACGGGTGACAACGACAACACCTTGAAACGAGACTTCAGCGATGAGACAATACAATGGCGCGCAGATCCTCTTCTCTTTGGATCTCTGACGTACGACTCTGCCCTAGCCTTCGTATCGTTCCATTGGGTGCTGCAACGAATTCATTATATTCGGTCCTCGTTTCCGTGAGGGATATATCGAAGCGCTAACCGTAATAGAAATAAATATTGTTCGTCCGTCGTCGATGAATTCGCTCCGTCCGGAAACCTTTGCGAAACATTCGATGGCCGATTGCTGCGTGTGCCGCTCATTTGCGGCTAGCTGTGTGCTCACATCGACCCACGTGTAATGGACGGCAGAGCACTGCTGACTGAGAGAAAAGGCGAGAGGTCGTTCCACACCCAGCCGATATCGATTGGGTGCGAAAATGACTTGTGTAGCAAAGCGACGCAGAAGAGAATGGAGGCGCGGTCGGCGCCTCGGAAGTAACGACCGATGAAGTCGGAACTAAAGTAGTGTCGCGCGGTGGTCGAACGACACCATCCCGCGACAAACACTGCAACTAGGAGGGCAGTCGGAGAGTTGGCATTGTTTTTCCCCAACTGGGCACCTTCTCCTCCGCCCCACATTCCCGTCATCAACATCGAGGAGGTCCGTTGTATCGAGCGGTCGGTCCGGGCGTGCGGAGCACGGAGACCTCGACGCGTCCTCGTTGGCGACGCGTGTTCGATGATAAAATAGCGAATCCCGTCTTTTTGTGGTGTTACTCTCACATATCCTCGTCTGTTCTGTCGGGATTTTTGCTCAGACTCGGCGACAGAATCTCTTCGCGCACTCAACGCTCTCCTGTCTTGGCGTTGCTGACAGCCCGCCCACCCGCCCTATCGCGGTCTGTGTGGAGTTGGGCGACGTTTCATGACACGATTACTGTACATTTTCACATCAAGAGTGACTGCCCCGCGTCTCGCAAAAGGCAAAACCCTCCGACTGCGGTCTCACGCGACCGCACTCGATCGCTCCCTCTCTCATCCTGTTCTACCGCGTGTCCTCTATAAGGCAGCTCCATTCTGTCTGCCTCGCGGTGATTGCGGTGGACGTGCTGTAGCTACATCTGCTCATGTAAGACAGTGAGACGCGGGTGCCAGGCAGTGTCGTTCGCAATAGCCTCGTCCGATTGGGCATTGAAAAACGGACAAGACCTATTTAGACACAACTCCATCGCCCATCCTCCTATCCTTCTGCTCGGGATCCTGCATTCCGCGTCTTGTAACATACCCATAGATTCCAAGATACAGGTTAATGAATATGACAACGGGTGCCTAGGGGCACGTGGTTCCATTGCAACTC